ACAAACACTACATCACCTATACACACACACACACACACACACACTATAGCGTGTATGCACACACTTGCTAAATCCCCTATACACACATTCTCTACAGCCCCTAGCCACATATGCATTACATTACACCACAAACACAACACGACTAAAACCGACCTTATTACACAATACCACACCACGACCAGCTCACTCTGCACACACGCAATACCACAAGCAGGCTCCAAACACATGCACAATGCTCTTTCCTGGCCCTTTTGTCTCCTGGTATCCATTTATAGAGACATCAGAGACAAGTTGCAAGGAAACACAGTGCAAGCATGTTATTAAGTTTGCTTGCACTGTGCAAAACAAATACAGGGATTTTTTCTCATGCTAGAGCTCTTCAGCAGAGCTCTGCGCATGGTCTGCCCTGGAAGAGCATTGAACCAACATGCTCACTTTGAGAGGGGGTGTGTTTGTCATGAGTGATGACAAAACACACCCTCTCTGCCCCGCCCCCTTCTTAGTGGGCTGCTGTGATAAAAAAATACCCGGGCAGAATATTTTTCCCAGTCCGGCCCTGTTTCAATGGTTAGGAAACTGAACGTCTGGAAATGGAAGTGCTAGAGTTTCAGCAAAGTTCTGTTTGTAATGACTTAGGAACAACTCTAGAGCAGATGGCGTGCAATAGTGTAGCAGAAAAAACACATGGCAGGGGAGAAAATGAGATCCTAAAAGTGTGAAATTCTCTATGAAAAAACTTTAAATCAATGAAAACACTGGGAATTGCCATCGTTGCTTTTCTGGGTCATCATACTTTCACAAACAGCTGTTTTCAGCCATGAATTATATTCAACTGACATTCGTAACAGATTGACAGGTGACATGAGTGCAGCGTATTTGCCTCTAAAAACTACTATTTATAAGCCAAGGTTTGACAAATTGTCATCATGCATACAGCAGCAGACGTCCTACTAACCATGCCCCAAAGAACATGTTCATTGTAGTCCTTTTCCACATTAGTGCAATATTAACAATGTTTTGTGTAATAAAATTGGACATGTTTAAAAATGTTCAGTAATATAATTTCAGTGCAAATGTTCATATTATGTGATGAAATAATTTTAATGAACAGACCCTCTTTTCGTGTGATTTTCTGCTTAAAAAAACAAAACACAATTGATCTGGGTAAATTGATGCACACTGTTGTGTGCAGTAATTTTGAACTGGACACAAATGTTCTTTCCATGTTTAATATTCAGTGTTGGAACTTTGAAATCAGGAACTTAGTTTCATGCAAATAATTGGGCACTCGGGCCCATCACTGGGATACATTGTTATGTAAACTGCTGATTAGGGTACAGCTTTTTAGATAAACTCTCTATTTAGTACATAAATTTTCACACCTTAAGAGTTTCTAGGTCAGCACATTTTTAGAAACACAGCACAACCATATGAGTCATACTGCTCAAAGAACATGACAGGCAGAAACTATAACACTCTTCTGTACCTGCTTCAACAGGGATTTGTGGGGATAATTTCACATTCCAAATAATATTATATAATGTAATGCTGTAACTGCCAAGCCCAACATTGCATATGATGGAGTATAAAATATAGCAAACATATACTAATTCATTGTTTGTTTTTGTTATGACCTATCAGTTTCATATTTTGTACACTCCTCTGGGCTCTACTGCCATTCCGTGGATAACTGCTGTAATTACATCTAATAACCGTTAAAAAAAAAAGATAAAAATACAATTTAACTATTATATAAGTTTTATATACACTGGGCCGGACCGCCTGCAACAAATCAATGATTAAACTGCTAAAACATTTTTTTTTTACCACCATATGACTGTGAATCTACGAATGGATCGTTAAATCTTGTACGAACCAGAACTTTGCAGTACTGGTTCGCTCAACTCCATTATGGATCCTTTGATCGTTACATCTATTACTTGGATAACTGGTAATTCTCGACATGCCGACGAGCGCTAGGGGACGGCCGCTCCGCTTTTGCGCCCTGCTCCCTCTTATGCTGTGCTGGTGCCTCTGTGTGACCAGCGCCTTTTCCTCCAAACTGCACACGTCACTCGCATGACCTTGATTCCAATGTGGGTTCTAGGACCTCATCATCCTCCACATCATCCTCCACCCACTCCTCAACCCTGCCCTCCTTGCCGGTATGCACACTGTAGAAAGCCACAGCAGTTGGCACCTGTGTTTTTCCAGTATGTAAAGTCTGCAAAGGACATATGGCAATTGTTTTAGAATTGTATCCAGGCAACAGTTTTCCCTATAAACTGACCTCTCAGTTTAACTTGTGAGGGTATTGCCCCAGCATTACAATATTGTTTAAGTACCTCTTAGCTATTCATAACTAGTTTAAATATAGCAGCTTGTTATCTGGTAGTTTCTAGTGTAGAAAATATCAATCTGTTTTCTATCACTTAGATCTGTGTAACAAGTGTTGTAGGTGTGAAACAATATTACAAATGACCGATGTAGTAAATTCGAATCAATGTTACGTTTCAATTTGACTCTCAGATATGAAGAGCACGCCCCAAAATGTACTATTTAGCAGATTAGCAGCAAAACCATTAGAATTTTTACAAGTGCGCTGTAAACGCACTATTAGACGATTCGATTTGACTCTCAGATATGAAGAGCAGGCCCCCAAATGTACTATTTAGCAGATTAGCACCCAGAAAATTAGAATGTTTACAACTGCGCTGTAAGCGCACTACTAGATGCTTCGATTTGACTCTCAGATATGAAGAACATACCCAAAATATGAGTGCGCTGTAAGCGCACTATTAGACGCTTCAATTTAACTCTCAGATATGAAGAGCAGGCCCCAAAATTTACTATTTAGCAGATTAGCAGCAATACAATTAGAATGTTTACAAGTGTGCTGTAAGCGCACTATTAGACGCTTCAATTTGACTCTCAGATATGAAGAGCAGACCCCCAAATGTACTATTTAGCAGATTATCCAGGTTCGCTCAACTCTAATCATAAGAAAACCAGTTTGAACACCAGACTGACACTTGAGAGATCAGTGAGAGGTGGACCAAGATAGATAAATTAAATCTTACACAATTAATATACTTTCTGTATATTTCTCTATTCTCTGTATTAATGTGAGAATTTTAAAGTTAAATCATTTTCATCCAAAATCCAACTTTTAGTGTGCAATGGAATCACAAGGCCGTTCTAAATGTGAGATAAGAGCACAGCTTCTAAGCTGTATAGTCTGTTATAACAATGTGACCTTGTACAGATTAATCACTTGCGAAAAAACTAAACTTTTTAAATTAAACGTAGTAAGAACCACTCTCAAAGTCCCAAGGTCATGCAAGAAACATGTCGTCCTGAAGTACTGGGTAAGTCTATTAAACATTAAGTATTTTTACCCTGTATATTTATTTTGTCACTGCAATAATGTGCAGAATAGTGAGTTGCAATATTTTTTTTTTCTTAAAAACATTTAAAAGCTGACCTCAATCTGCAATGCAACATTGTAATGGTGTCTTGCAATCTGTTGCCATTACTTGTTAGGTAAATAGAATTCTGCTGCTCCCAAAAATTGTAAACCTGTACAGATTTCTTGAGCAATAATCAATGCAAAAAAAAACAACAACTTTGCATCTATGCTAAACCTGCCTGTTTTAAATTGAATCTGTATAGTCCTTGCCATAAGTACTTGTACTTATTAAAGTTGTTTATATTGTGGTAAATTATTATTATTTTTTTTTAAAAAGAAATCTGCTTGTGTATGTCACAAACACTGGACAAAGTGAGTGTTAATATTTGTTTGTGTGTCAAAAATGCAGAAAACTAATTTGAACGCCAATTTTGGCCAGTGTTTGTGACTAAGTGGCTACTATAAAAGACTGGACATATCCCATTTGCAATACCTTGGGTTGTCTACTATTGCAAATGGTATGCCATCATGGGGGTAATTTTCATTCCTGGGCTACCATACGGTCTCAAAGGCAACGTAACCAATCTGGCGAATTTCAATGTGAAAAAACTGAAACACAAGCCTTATATTTGACTCTGTAACTTTTGAAAACACCATAAAACCTGTACATGAGGGGTACTGTTATACTCAGGAGCCTTCACTGAACACAAATTATTTGTGTTTCAAAACAGTAAAACATATCACAACAATTATATCATCCGTGTAAGTGCCATTTGTGTGTGAAAAATGCAAAAAATGTCTCTTTCACTGACGATATCTTTATTGTAATACATTTTACTGTTATGAAACACTAATATTTGTGTTCAGCGAAAGTTACAGGGTTAAATATAGTGCTAGCAAATTTAATTCCCTGGACTTTCGGCCTGGGTTGTCAGGTAGGTCCCGCAAATTGTAAGTAATAAAATGACCTAATTATGTAAAATCATTACATGAATATATACTTTGAATTATTACATATATATATACGTGTGTATATATATATATATATATATATATATATATATATACATATATATGTATATAATTTTAAAACATTATTTTTATTGATATATAGTGATATATACGTATATACTTATTTGTATATGTATATATATATATATATAATTTCATTCTAGGCGTATTTTGATATCAATACATACATATTAATTTTAAAATACAGTTAGAACGAAATTACACATGAATATATATATATATATATATTTTTTTTTTTTTACAATTTTTTTAAACGTATATATTCATTTATTTTATATTATATATAAATATATATATTTTTTTTTTTTTACAATTTTTTTAAACGTATATATTAATTTATTTTATATTATATATAAATATATATATAATGATAAATATATATATATATATATCATCAATATCATTCTACGAGTATTTTGATATTAATATATATGATCTAAGTATATATAATACAATTTTAAACTGTTTTAAACTGTTTTAAAAGTTTTTTTTTCAGGCATTGCTATGGACGGCTATGCCAGCCATGTGATTGTGAGGTCCTTGCAATCACATGGCCCAGGGGGGCCGGAATGGAAGCAGGGGGACTCCGTGGGATGCCTGGTGAGTCCTCCAGCGCGATCACCGGCGTGGGATCGCCGGCGACTGGGTAACCTAGGACAGCTTGGGCACTCTATGCCACCCGCCGGCGTTTAGAGCTGGGTCCCCAAGGACGGCATAGAACACCCACTGTCATTAAGGGGTTAAACTTAGAAATTTACTTTCATCACTTGTCTTATGAAAACAATATCTTGCATTGATCTCTCCTTCGCTTGCAACCTGTGCAGCTACAGAGAGATCAATACCCCCTGCCTACAACCCTCTGTCCTGGAACTAATGGACCATGCTGTGCTGGTGTATTAGGCATATAAGGGAGTTAACCAAATATGTATATATGTCTCTTTTGCCATATTAATAAAGAGCCACAATTTTAGCATTGTATGCTAATT